ACCTTTCCTACAAACAATTCCCCACCATAAAGGAATCAGAATTCTACTACCCCAAAATTGTTATAGACAACTCTAAAACTATTTTTATTCATTTGTCCATCACTTTTATAAAGTCCATTCACTTCCCTACTTTATTAGATGAATCTTTCATACCTACTCTTCTCCCCAAAACCTCCAACACTTTCTCTTCCATCCTCATTCTCAGTGGGTGATCTTCCCACCCAGCCAGCTTTATTGAGATATAACTGACATATAACATTATGTAAGTTTAAGGTGTACAGTGTGATAATGATACACGTACACATTGTGAAATGCTTACCACAATAAGGTTAGTTAACACACCCTTTACCTTACATAATTACTGTTTTGTTGTAGTTGTTATTACAGTGAGAACACTTAAGCTCTATTCTCTTAGCAACTTTCAAGCATACAATACAATATTGTTAACTACAGGTACCACACTGTACATTAGATCCTGGAACTTATTCATATTATAACTGAAAGTTTGTACCCTTTGACCAACATCTCCCATTTCCCCCACCCCCAGCCCCTGGCAATCACCAATCTACACTCTCTTTCTATGAGTTAGATGTTTTAGATTCCACACATGAGATCATACGATATTTGTCTTTCTCTTTGTGATTTATTTCACTTAGTGATGCTCTCAAGCTCCATCCGTGTTGTTGCAAATGGCAGGATTTCCTTCTTTTTTAAGGTTGCAAAATATTCCAGTGTGTGTGTGTGTATATGCATATATACACACACCACATTTTCTTTATCCATTCATCTGTCAATGGACACTTAGGTTGTTTCCATGTCTTGGCTATTGTAAATAATGCTGCAACGAACATGGAAGTGCAGATCTCTCTTCAAGATAGAGATTCCATCTCCTTCAGACACACACCCAGAAGTGGGATTGTTGGACCATATGTTAGTCCTACTTTAATGTTTTGAGGAACCTCCATACTGTTTTCAATAGTGGCAGCAACAATTTACATTGCCACCAAGAATGCACCAGGGATCTCTTCTCTCCATACCCTTGCCAACTTGTTATCGCTTGTCTTTACTAAGAGACATTCTAAAAGGTGTGAGGTGATATCTCATTGGGTTTTTTTAATTAATGTCATAATAGTTTATAACATTGTGAAATTTCAGTTGTACGTTATTATTTGTCAGTCACCATAGATGTGTGCCCCTTTACCCCTTATGCCCATCCCCCAATCCCCTTCCCCTCTGGTAACCACTAATCTGTTTTCTTTGTCCATGTATTTGTTTATTTTCCACATATGAGTGAAATCATACGGTGTTTGTCTTTCTCCATCTGGCTTATTTTGCTTAACATAATACCCTCAAGGTCCATTCATGTTGTTGCAAATGGGACAATTTTGTCTTTTTTTTATGACTGAGTAGTATTCCATTGTGTGTATATATATATATATATATATATATATATATATATATACACACACACACACACACGCATATATATATATACACTACATCTTCTTTATCCATTCACCAGTTAATGGGCACTTGGGTTGCTTCCATATCTTGGCTATTGTGAATAATGCTGCAATGAACATAGGGGTGCTCATGTCTCTTTGAATAGTTGACACTTTGGATTATCTTTGGACAAATACTCAGTAATGGGATAGCTGGATTGTATGGCATTTCTATTTTTAATTTTTTCAGAAATCTCCATACTGTTTTCCGTAGTGGCTCCACCAGTTTGCATTCCCACCAGCAGTGTGTGAGGGTTCCCTTTTCTCCACATCCTCTCCGACATTTGTTGTTTTTTGTCTTGGTGTCATATGTCATTCTAACAGGTGTAAGGTGATATCTCATTGTAGTTTTGACTTGCATTTCCTTTATGATTAGTGATGTTGAACATCTTTTCATGTACCTATTGACCATCTGCATATCTTCTCTAGGAAAATGTCTGTTGATTATCCTCAGCCTATTTTTCAATCAGGTTCTTTGGTTTCCTGTTTTTGAGTTGTATGAGTTCGTCATATATTTTAGAGATTAACCCCTTGTTGAATGTATGATTTGCAAATATTTTCTCCCAGTTGGTGGGTTGTCTTCTCATCTTGTTCATGGTTTCCTTTGCCTTGCAGAAGTTCTTTAGTCTGATGAGGTCCCATTTGTTTATTCTTTTGTTTCCCTTGCCCGAGTAGACATGGTATTCAAAAAGATCCTTCTAAGACCGATGTCAAAGAGTGTACTGCCTACATTTTCTCCTAGGAGTTTTATGCTTTCGTGTCTTATCTTCTAGTCTTTAATCCATTTTGAGTTAATTTTTGTGTATGGCAAAAGATAATGGTCTACTTTCATTCTTTTTCATGTAGCTGTCCAGTTTTCCCAACACCATTTATTGAAGAGACTTTCCTTTCTCCATTGTATGTTCTCGACTCCTTTGTTGAAGATTAGCTGCCCATAGATACGTGGTTTTATTTCTGGGCTTTCAATTCTGTTCCATTGATCTGTGTGTCTGCTTTTGCACCAGTACCACGCTATTTTGATTACTATAGCTTTGTAGTATATTTTGAAGTCAAGGATTATGATGCTTCCAACTTTGCCCTTTTTTCTCAGGATTGCTTTAGCTATTTGCGGTCTTTTGTTGCCCCATATGAATTTTAGGATTCTTTGTTCTATTTCCATGAAGAATGTCATTGGGATTCTGATTGGGATGGAGTTGAATCTGTAGATTGCTTCAGGTTATATGGACGTTTTGACTATGTTTATTCTTCCAATGCATGTGCATGGAATATTTTTTCATTTCTTTATGTCATCATCAATTTCTTTCAATAATGTCCTATAGTATAGTTTTCATTGTATAGGTCTTTCACCTCCTTTGTTAAATTTATTCCTAGATATTTTTTTCTTTTTGTTGCAATTGTAAATGGGATTGTATTCTTGAGTTCTCTGTTAGTTTATTATAGAAATGCAACTGATTTTTGTAAGTTCATTTTGTACCCTGTAACTTTACTGTAGTTGTTTATTATTTCTAATAGTTTATCTATGGATTCCTTAGGGTTTTCTCTATATAAAAGCATGTCGTCTGCAAACAGTGAGAGTTTCACTTCTTCATTGCCAATTTGGATATGTTTTACTTATTCTTCTTGCTTAATTGCTCCGGCCAAAACCTCCAGGACTATGTTGAATAAGAGTGGCAAGAGTGGGCACTTGTTCTGTTCCTGTTCTGAGAGAGATGGCTTTCAGTTTTTCCCCCTTCAGTATGATGTTGGCTGTGGGTTTGTCATATACAGCCTTTATTATGTTGAGGTACTTTCCTTCTATACCCATTTTATTGAGAGTTTTTATCATAAATGGATGTTGGATCTTGTTAAATGCTTTCTCTGTGTCTATTGAGATGATCATGTGGTTTTTATTCCTCATTTTGTTAATGTGGTGTACCACATTGATTGATTGGTAGATGCTGAACCATCCCTGAGTCCCTGGTATAAATCCCTCAGTGGGTGATCTTAATTCTTACTTCACTAGGAAAATTGATGCTATGAAACCAAAACTTCTACAAACTCCCACACACTTACCATCATCTTGTGCTGTATACTCTTCTTTTCCTCCTATTACTATAGTAGAACTGTCTATTCTCCTAGCTAAGGCCCAGTACTTTAATTTTCCACTAGCTTCCATCTCTCTTGTCTATTACAGGACATTCTACAAAATATCTTCCCTTTCTCTCCGGCATAATCATTTCCTCCCTATACTGAATCTTTCCCTAATTATTTAAACATGCTATTAGCTCTTACATCTTTTAAAAAAAGAATCTTCTCTTGACACACTTCCATTTCTAATAACTGTCTCATTTATCTTCTTCCTTTTAAAGTTTAACTTCTTGAGTTTCTTGCTCTTTACGGAGATAGCTTTCTCTCTCCTCCCATTCTCTCCTTTATTGCACTGTCCAATCAAACTCCACTTCACTGAAACTGCCATTGTTAAGATCACCAAAGACCTCCACATTAATCAATTTTACTTTACCTCTGAGCAGTACTTAACATAGTTTATCACTCCCTCTTCTTTGAAATACTTTCTTGCTTGATTTCTATTACTCTGCTAATCCTTTGATGGTTCTTTCTCATCTCTATGATCTCTTCCCTTTTGCAGGTACAGTCACTCCCATGATTGTACAGCCTCATCTAGTCTGATAGCTTTACATATGCTGCTGACTCCCAAATTTATATCACTACCCTGGACTTGCCTCTAAGGTTAGTTACCATCTCTCTTCGGATGTCTAACAGACATTTCAAACCTAACATGTCCAGAACCACATTGCTAAGGCAAAAAAATACTGAAGTTTCTCTTGATCCTTTCTCTTTCTTATCCCAGCCCACAACTAATCTTCACAATAGATCCCGAAGTCGACCACTTACTCCTCTGCTGCTCTCACCCTTGATCAAGCCACTACCCTCTCTCATATGCAATATTAAAATAACCTAATTTTCTCTGTTTTAGATTTTTCCCCCTTTTCAAAATATGTCCTCAATATAGAAGTCAGAAAGATCCTTATGTTAAAACATGAGTCAAATCATGGCTCTTTTTGGCTCAAAAATATCTACTAATGTCACATCTTATTCAGAATAAAAGCCAAAGTTCTTATAGTGGTCTAAAAGTGCCATATAATCTGTCTACCCAAACTCCCCATCCTGTTAAATATCAGGCCTTTTCTCCTTCTACTTTCACTTTTGCTCACTACCTTCCAGCCACACTGGCCTTCTTGTCGCATCCCAGATGCATGAGGCACACCCCCACCTCTGCACGTTTGTACCTCCTGTTCCTTTTACCAGGAATGTTCTCCCCCAGATAGCCACAGGTTTACTTGTTATTCATTGGATCTTTAAATGTCATTTCAGTGAAGGCCACCCTACATAAAATTTCAATCCCCTTCATACTCCTAATATTCTTCCCTGTTTTATTTCTTCTCAGCAATAATCATTACTAATATACTATATATTTTGTGTATTTATTTTGTTTATTGTTTATTTCCACCACTAAAATGTAAGCTCTAGAAGAACAGAGGGTTTATTTTTCTGTTTTGTTCACTATTATATCCCCAGTATCTAAAACTGTGCTTGACTCTTAGTAGACACTCAATAAATATTTGCTTAATAAATGTTGAATAAATATTTTAGGAAGTCATACTGGTATAGCCTTTTTCCCTGCAACTAAAAGCCATTTGTCAAGTTTACACATAGATAAATCAAAGCTACTTCAGAACTGTGAAACTTGACTAAAATGACCTTAAGATTTGAAAAATGAATATTATTAAATTATAATGATTAGCTGTTCCAGTGACTTCACAGAATCAATGAGAAGCATTTATTTGCATCCAAAATATTTTAATAATGAAGAATAAAGAGTAAATCTCAATAATGTTTTCCTAGTATTCAATGGCTAACTTTACAAATTGAAAACTTAGCCAAAACAGTTTTCATGAATACAAGAAAAGGTAAAAACAAAATATAATCATCTAATTATCTGAACACAATTACAAGTTTTCAGGTAACATGTGGTTATTTCACATTTAGGCCAAAATATTAAAATATAAAAAAACAACTTATGCAAATACCAAAAAAGTCCCAATTTCAGAAAAAGTTTGGCTCTTCAGAAAATAAGAATAAAAAAATTAACTATAAATTTAATGTTATTAGGCTCCTTAATCATGCTGCTTTTCTGAAATTAAACAAATAGCTTTTCTGCCTCCTTTAGTTTTTTTTTCCTATCCATTTTAGCAATTACAGCCCAACGATCCTCTCGCATTTTCCTCATAGCTCCAAACTTCAGCGTAGATCCAGGGTTTGTTAGAGACGAAGGGGTCTGAGTACAAAATAAAATAAAGTCATAATATATTTAACTAAAAAAATAATAAAGTCAAGCTTTTGCAATTGGTTTTCTGAAATAAAATTTAGAAGCTACCTGTTTTGGTGTTCTGACACAAAGATGAGAAGTTGGTGGATTATTCTTGCATAGTTTTTTCAATGTCTCTTCCTCTGAAACCATGGTCTTAAAGAAAAATACAAAAATATAATTTGAGAGTTGTCATCAATATTATATTGCTAAAATTTTGTCTACATATGACATATAAGGAGAAGGAGGGAGGGCAGAGAGGAAGGAAGAAAAAAGGAGAAAGGAGGGAGGAGGGGGGAGAAAAAGGGAAGAAAGAAAGACTGAAGATGATGACAAAATAAATCCGCGATCTGCCAAACAAGGGCCCAGATTTTGATTCTATTAACTATATTCCTAAAAGCTTATGTGAAATACAAAATTGTGTGAATAGTATTTTTCTACTGATTTCTATTTCACTTTGAGACCTTTCCCACCCTTTCCCCCAGCCTACTTATTCAAATTCACACTTAGACCTTATAATAAGTATTTACAATCTTATAAAAACTATAATGTTGTCAAATATCAATTTATAAGTATTGTAATTCTCCCAAACAATAATAGCTAACACTTATTTAGTACTTTATGTCAGGCACTGTTTTAAGCACTTTGTACATTTTAGTTAGTTTCAATCCTCAGAACAATTTTATGAAGTAGATAAACTATTATTACCCCCATTTTAAAGATGAATAATTGAGACACACAGTAACTTGCCCAATATTATATAGCTAGTAAGAGGGGTAGCCAGGATTCAAATCCAGGTAGGCTGGCTCCAGAATCCATTCTCTTAATGAATATGCTACACAAATTTAGTCAGGTAAGCAATCAGTTCACATGATCTTTTCCTGCTCCTTAAAGTCACATTTAACTTCAGAGGCTTCATGGATGAAAATATTCAAACAGATTTTCAGGATTTCTAAGATTTCAATAGAATTCAATAAGTCATAAAGAGCTTCCTTTTCAGATACACTCTGAACTAGTATGTACCAACTAACCAGCTTAGAAAAGAGAAATTATTGTAAACTATTAAAATTTTACTTAGTGCATAATAATTGATTATTCATTAATGACTGCCCATATAAAACTAACTAATAAATTAACCCAATTTAAAACAACAAAACCTTATCTGTCCTTTTGACTTTGTAGCATTCTTTTCATGTGCTTATCAGCCATTTGTATATCTTCTTTGGAGAAATGTCTATTCAAGCCCTTTGCCCATTTTTGAATTGGGTTGTTTTTCGTTATTGAGTTACAGGAACTCCTTACGTATTCAAGATATTAATCCCTTGTCAGATATATTACCTGCAAATATTTTCTCCCAGTCTTTAGCTTGTCTATTCACTTTTTTCCCTGTAACTTTATTGAAATCATAATGGTTTATAACATTGTATAATTTCAAGTGTACATTATTATTTATCAGTGTCTGAATAGACTTCATTGTGATCACCACCAGTAGTCTAATTTTTGTCCATCACCATACATATGTGCCCCTTCACCCCTTTTACCTACCCCCGAACCCCCTTCCCTTCTGGTAACCACTAATCTGTTCTCTTTATCCATGTATTTGTTATCTTCCACATATGAGTGAAATCATGCAGTATTTGTCTTTCTCTGTCTTGTTTATTTCACTTATCATCATACCCTCAAGGTTCATCCACGTTGTTGCAAATGGGATGATTTCGTCTTTTTTCACAGCTGAGTAGTATTCCATTGTGTGTGTGTACATACATATACTACATCTTTATCCATTCACCTGTGGAAGGGCACTTGGGTTGCTTCTAAATCTTGGCCATTGGTCTCTTTACTTTCTTAATAGTGTCCTTTGATGCACAAAAGTTCTTAATTTTGATGAAGTCCAATTTATCTTTTTTTTTTCTTTTTTTGTCTATGCTTTTGGTGTAATATCCATGAAGTCCTTCCCAAATTCAATGTCATGAAGATTTCCCCAATGTTTTCTTCTAAGAGTTTCATGGTTTTAGCCATGAAGTTTAGGTCTTTGATCCATTTTCAGTCCACTTTTATATACGCTGTAAGATAAGAGTCCAACTTTGTTCTTTTACATGTGGATACCCAGTTTTCCTAGCACCATTCATTGAAAAAACTGTCCTCTCCCCCATTGAGTGGTCTTGGCACTCTTGTCAAAAATCGATTGACTATATATGGGGATTTATTTCTGGGCCCTCTATTTTATTCCATTGGTCTATATATCTGTCCTTGTGCCAGTACTATACGTACTGTTTTAATTATTAGCTTTGTAGTAAGTTTCAAAGTCAAGAACTGTTAGTCCTCCAACGTAATCCTCCATCTTCAAGATTGCTTTAGCTATTTGGGGCTCCTTGAATTCTATGTGAATTTGAGTATCAAATTTTCCATTTCTTCCCAAAAAAGGCTGCTGGAATTTTGATAGGGATTGTGTTGAATCTGTAGACTGCTGTGGGTAATACTGACATCTTAACAATGTTAGTCTTCCTAACCATGAACACAGAATTATTTTTTCATTTCTTTAGGTCTTTTTAGATTTCTTTCAGCAATGTTTTATAATTTTCAGTGTTTAAGTCTTTCACTATCTTTAGGTTAGATTTGTTCCTAAGTATTTAATTCTTTTAGATGTTATTATAAATGGAATTATTTTCTTAATTTCCTTTTTGGATTATTCATTCGTGGTGTATAGAAACATAACTGATTTTCATGTGTTGATCTTACACCCTTCATTGTCACTAAATTCATTTATTAGCTACAGTAGCTTTCTTGTGGAGTCTTTATAATTTTCCATGTATAGATAGGATCACGTCACCTGCAAATTAGAGATAGTTTTACCTCTTTTTTTTCTATTTGCATGCCTTTTGTTTTCCTTTCTTTCCTCTCTCTCTCTCCTGTCTTTGTCTAATAGCCTAATAGCTCTAGCTATATCTTCCAGTACAAAATTGACTAGCAGTGGTGAAAGTGGCCATCCTTGTGTCAATCTTAGAGGAAAAGCTTTCAGTATTTTTACATTGAGTATGATGCTAGCTGTAGGTTTTTAAGTACCATTTATCATGTTGAAGAGTTTTCCCTCTATTCCTAGCTTTATGAGAGTTTCTCTCATGAAAGGATATTGAATTTCGTCAAATGCTTTTTCTATATCAATTGAGATGATCATGTAGGGTTTTTTCCCTTCATTCTACTAATGTGACATATTACATTAATTTTCTTGTTTTAAACCACCTTGGCTTTTCTTGGATAAATCCCAGTTGGTCATGGTGAATAATTCTTTTAATATGCTATTGGATTTGATTTGCTTCATTGAGGATTTCTGTATCTACACTCATATAGGATAATGCTCTAAAACTTTCTTTTCTTATGATGTCTTTATCTGGCTTTGGTATCAAGGTAATGATGGCCTCATAGAATGAATTACAAAGTATTCTCTCTTCAATTTTTTGGAACAGTTTGAGAAGGATTGGTGTTAAGTCTTTAAATGTTTGGTAAAATCCATCGATGACACCATTTGGTCTAGGACATTTCTTTGTTGGGAGGTTTTAGATTACTAATTCAAACCCTTTACTTGCTATAGGTCTGTTGAAGTTCCCTATTTCTTCTTGAGTCAGTTTAGGTACTTTGTGTTTTCAAGGAACTTGTTCATTTATCCATTCTTATAGGTTATCAAATTTGTTGGCATATAATTATTCACAATATTCTCTTTTTGTCTCTGAAAGGTTGGTAATAATGTCCCCACTTTTATTTCTGATTTTAGTTATTTTCATCTTCTCTTTTTTGTCAATCTAGCTAAAGATTTGTCGATTTTGTTCATCTTTTCAAAGAAACATTTTTATTTCATTGATTTTCTCTATTGTTTTCTATTCTCTACTTTATTTCAACAATAATCTTTATTATTTCCTTCTTTCTGCTAGCTTGGTGTTTAGCTTGCTCCTCTTTTTCTAGTTCCTTACGGTGTAAAGTTAGGTTATTGATTTTATAACTTTCTTTTTTAATGTAGGAATTTATAGCTATACATTTCCTTCTGAGCACTGTTTTTGCTGTATCATGTTAAGTTTTGGTATATTGTGTTTTCATTTTCACTTATCTGTAATTTCCCTTGTTATTTCTTCTCTGGTCCACTGGTTGGTTAAAAGTGTATTAATTTCCATAAATTTGTCAATTTTCTAATTTCCCTTCTCTTATTGATTTCTAACTTCATCCCATTGTAGTCAGAAGAAATATTTTCTATGATGTCTATCTTTTTAGATCTAATGAGACTTGTCTTGTGACCTATATGGTCTATCCTGGAGAATGTCCCATGTACACTTGAGAAGAGTGTGTATTCTATTGTTGTTGAGTGCTGTATACACGTCTACTAGATCTATTTGGCCTATTGTGTTACTCCAGTCCTCTTTTTCATTACCTACCTTCTGTCTGGTTGTTCTATCCATTATCCAATACCCCTGAAATTGGGGTATTGAAGTACCCAACTATTAATGTAGAACCTAACTACAACTAATTAGTATCCAACTATTAAAGTAGAATTTTACAGAATTTTTCCCTTCAATTTTGTAAAGTTTTGCTTCACATATTTTGAGATTCTGTTAGTTGTGTAAATGTTTAAAACTATCTCATCTTCTTGCTGTGTTGAACCTTTTATTAATATATAATGTCCTCCTTTGTCTCTTGTACTTTTTGATTTAAAGTCTATTTTATCAGATCTTAGTATAGCCATTCCAGCTGTTTTTTTGTTACTATTTGCATGGGATATCTATTTCCATCCTTTCACTTTAAATCAATTTGTGTCTTTAAATCTAACAAGAATCTCTTTTAGACAACACACATATATACAGTTGGATCATTTTTTAAAATCTATTCTGCCAATCTATGTCTGTTCATTGGAGGGTATAATAATTTACACGTACAGTAATTACTAACGAGGAGGGACTAATTTCTGCCTATTTGTTATTTTCCATATGCCTTATAGGTGGTTTTGTTTTGCTTTTGTCTCTTATTTCCTCCATTACTGATTTCTTTGTGTTTGGGTTTTTTTTTTTTGGTAGTGAAATGTTTTGATTCCCTTCTTATTTCCTTTGTGTGTATGCTATAAATATTTTTTGTGGTTGCCAAAGGGATGACATTTAACATCCTAATGCTGTTCT